ATTTTTTTAAAGATAAATTTCCACAGGACACCATCTTAGCTACAGTTTCAGAGATGGCAGCATACTGTTACCTGCTGTCAAGATTTAAGCATTGTGAACAGGGATAACAACACACCATGTCCTCTCTGCTCCAGATGCCCTCCTGGGAACCCTGGTCAGTCTGAAACTTGTGACATTCAGTACACACTGTGTCCTCTGAAGGTGCCCTGTCTTCTTCTCTAAAGGCCTCCCCCTCCGTGACACGCCACCAGGCAGAAGAGCGAGCAGAGACTGACGGAAGCCTGGGCTGACCCCTGGCTTTGCCACCTCTCCAGCACTAACCTCTCTACCTTAGTCTCTCATTTGTCAAAGACTTAATAGTAGTGCCTATGGTATCAGTTGCTGTGAAGATTAAGAGAGACAATAAATATCCAATTTTTGGAATAGTGTGTAGTACACAGTAGACCTCAGTAACTGTTAGCTGATGGTATTACTGTGTAATGCTACAGGGGCGTTGCATGTATACACACAAATGTAGTAAGTTAGATCTGAAAAACTAGTGGCGGGTTATTAAAGACAAACAATTGATGTTTTAAAATCTGAATTAGACAGTCTGTATTCTAAAACACACACGGAAATCTGTACCAATTAAATACAATAAAGTTGAAAGGGGATATAAATTACAATTTTTCTTTTTTTTTTAAACAGACAATAGTAAAATACTACAGTCAGCTCACTATACACAAAAATCATGAACAGCAGCTTTTCATTAAAGTTTCCAATATCTTACTCATTTACCGATGTTAAGAACTTAAAGAAAAAAGGTACAGCAGGCTGTACACATTCTCTCACTCTTGCTCTCACGACACATTTACAGCTGTACACCCCGACCAACTGTACAGGCATCTGTAGAATAGGTACAGAAAGAACTTTGTAAAAATCTGCACACACATACTCTTTCAACATCTCTGTTTGTAGGAGACGTTTACGAATGAAGACACAACAGCAGGGTCATCTGTATTCCATCATCTCCTGCAAACTCAGTCAAGTGTGAACTGGGTCACTTCAGAGCTCTGTCCACCTCTTCAGCACTGCCCAGAACCGAGCAAAATAACAACAGTGAAACCACACCACAGTGAAACCTACCAAGCCAAAAGAAAACCACAAAACCCCCCAAAGCAACACCCCTCCCACCCCACCCCACCCAAACCCAACTCGTGGTTGTCCTTGTGTTTTCTGACAGTAACACTGTTCTCTCCTTTCCACCTGCCCAGCTGGGCTGAACTCTGGATTCAGAGGTCTGGTCACTGTCAACAGGTTCTAACACACTGTCAAGTCAGTAGGTGGTGGGCCAGGTGGAAGACCAAAGAATGTAGCTGTGAGATTTCTCAGTGTGCTTGTGAAACGAAAGACAGGCAGCACAAGGAAAGTATGGCACCAAACTTCCTACAGTCAAACATACACGTTCACACAAAACCAGAGTAGACAGCAAAAACGTTCAGTCTTATGTAAGTAAGTTCTTTGGTTATAAAGAACAGTATTCTGTAACCTTTTCGGCAAAGAGGGATTTGCAAGCTCATTCTTAGGCAATAAAATATTTTTCATCTGCTCATGTAGAAGAGATCGTCCAAGTTGCTTTGTAACGAAGTCCAGTACCTTTATGATTTTCTACAAATCACCATTATCTACATTTTAGTGTGCAGCCATGTCTGTCTCTGAACAGACATACTATACACATTTCATATACATAATATATATTATTTATAAAAAGACAAATTGGAGCATTGACTCCAGATTCTACAGTAAGAATTGATTAAAATTGTACAAGAATAAAGTCTGTCTGAATCTGTAGAGGTTTCTACACAGTGGAGGTGTGTAGTAATTAAGTGCAAATGAAAATACTGCCACTTAGTTAATCCAGGATTTACAGTTCTCTTGCTTTATGAAAAAAGCAAAGGTTGCTGATTCAGCCAAGTGACAAAGTGCCGCTTCTCCTGCTGGGGAAGGGAAAGGAGGTGGCCCAGGAAGTGCATGGCTTGGCTTCTCCAGCTTCTGGTCTGAGGTTCAGCTGGGCGGCAGCATGTTTTAAAGATGGGCTGGTGCTTTCACATGGTGGCCTGAGGAGGAAGTGCTTGCTGCCCTTCACCGTGGGGTCATGCCTCCCTGGAATGCAGAGGCTGGTGAGCTTAAGCTTCTCATCATGCCCACCTGCCCACTCCCCACCCAACAGTACCCACCCTTAGCCCAGAGCACACCCACCCCAAGAAGGACCTCTTCCTAAAGGGATCCACAGGATTGGGTTTATTATAGAATCCAGCACTGGATTTCATACTATACAAGCCCCAAGATGAACTTTCTAGGAAAATCGTGACAGCAACACCCAAAGTTAAAGTAAAAAAAAAACACAAAAAACCAGAAGGTTATTTCTGAACCCACATTCTGAGTTACTTTACAGTTAGAGTACAGCCAAACTTTAGTACTTAGAAAGGTCTCAATTAAAATTTAATACTGCAAAACAACATATTACTATTATTTTTTAAATTTTAGAGACCAAGTCTTGGTCTGACATCCAGACTGAAGTGTAGTGGTATGACCATGGTTCACTGCAGCCTAGAACTAGTAGGCTCAAGTAATCCTTCCACTGTGGCCTCCCAAAGTGCTGGGATGACAGGCATGTCAAAATAACTTATTAAAACCAACAAAACAGGGGGGCACCTGTGGCTCAAAGGAGTAGGGTGCCAGCCCCATATGCTGGAGGTGGAGGGTTCAAACCCAGCCCCAGCCAAAAAACTGCAAACAAACAAACCAAAAAACACCCCCCCCCCAAACCCCAACAAACCAAAAACACTAATGCAAAAAAAATTTTTTTTGAGACATAGCCTCAAGCTGTTGCCCTGGGTAGAGTGCTGTGGTATCACAGCTCCCAGAACCTCCAACTCCTGGGCTTAAGCGATTCTCTTGCCTGAGCCTCCCAAGTAGCTGGGATCACGGGCACCTGCCACAATGCCTGGCTATTTTTTCTTTTTTGGTTGCAGCCATCATTGTTGTTTGGCGGGCCCAGGCTGGATTTGAACCCACCACCTTAGGTGTATGTGGTTGGCACCTTAGCCGCTTGAGCCACAGGAGCCAAGCCCTGAAAACTTTTGAAACATAAACTTTTCCTATTTGTTGTTCTTCTTCCCTCTTCTCAGGCCTTCAGACACTCCCCACCTCTACAGGGTGGGGAGAAAGGGTTTGTGAAAACACTTCCCCTGCTCCACTGCCTATGAAGCAAAATCACAGGGTGGAAGGTGGTGATGCCTGAGAATTTTAGCTTTTAAGAGGCCCACCACCACACGTCTCCTAGTGAGTTTGCGAAACAAATCTAATTTTTAGGGTGAAGAATTAAAGAGGCCTTAACATGGCTTTCTTGAACAAGGCCTGAAAAGCTGATGTAGATGAGCTATATGGATTCTGCTTCAATCAGTATAAAGGACATTGCTTGTTTTGCTCGCAAGAACAGTGGTGAGTGATTATTATTGTTTCTATGTTGGGGAAAGGAATTTTTTTGTTCTTGTAGGAGATCACCATTTAGGTTTTAGCAGCTTATTAGTGTGTATGCCATACTAATGATCACACAAACTGACATTTTTTTTTTTTTT